AAACCGAAACCTTATTGAAAATTCTCAATAGAAACTTATTCACATCCACGACCACCACAGCTCCTCACACCTGCGCACCGTCTTTATTTCCTGAAAAAAAAATGATAATAGCGGAGCGTGAGTACTAATCAACAGTACTCCGTAAAAACCCATACTAAGTAAACAACAATAATAATATCAATATCATGATCTTTGGTATGTATCTAAGCTTAATCTTTCGGTATCTAACCGATACTTTAACTTGAACTTTGCAACTACCGGTAACTTGGGCCGGTTCGCACGTGATCACATTCTGGGGGTCGCCTCCCACAGAACCCAGTCTTGACTGAGCGAGCTTAATACTTTACTTAACTTTATACATACCTCGAACATGATAATAGCTATTATACTCAATGTAATACCCAGTCTGGGTCTCCACCTTTTCTTGTTGAAAACTTTTGAAAACTGTAAGTGTTGTACTGATAGCTGTATCTGCAACTACATAAAAAAAAATATAAACAAATATACTAAGTACTATGCTCATTATACTTACTAAAATACTCGGATACTCACATCTATCAGATATCTTATCCGAATATAAAAGAATACTCTAGAGATCATACTAAGTCCGGATTTTAATTGGTATACTTAAACTGAACCGAAACTTAATCATTTTAATACTCTTCAAATTTTCACATTAATTAATATAATGAGAAAAACTAAAATCATATGCAATAACTCAATTCACCTCATTTTAATCTTAACTTTAACATATGTATTCTCAACATATATATAAAGTTACCATAAAAAATTTCACTTTAAAATAATATTCATATCTTGAGATATATTATTTCAAAGTTGAACTATATCAAAACATTCAATTTACTTGCATACTTGTCTTTAAAAATCTATATCTCATGCTACAACTATCTAAAAATTCTAAAACTTTATATCTTAACTCTCAACTATATGAAGAAATATTCTGTAAATTTTCTCATAAAAATAATAACCATAAAGTGAGATATGATTTTTCAAATAATGTTTGTCTTACTGAAATTCGAGATTTACTCACTTATGTTCATTGTTTTCTATAGCATCTTAAACAAGTCCAATAAATATAAAATTTAAACTGGAAGTTTTTAACTAATATATGAATTGACCATTAGATTTTCAACTCAAAATAACATCAATAGGTAGGGTAATTCAATACCACAAATCATCATTACTACACAGATTTTTCACTGGATAATACCTTAATAAAAGATTTTTATAAAATTCATTTTAACTTCGACTAATCTAAAATTTTCCAGTATTATTCTCAACATAATGATTATCTTATATAAAATTTTCATAATTTTTGGAACTCAATAGCTTGGTCAAAAACAAACAAACATAAGCTGCAATATCATGAACTTTAAATAATCTTGTTTTATATACTTATATATATAAGAATTATAATTTCTTAACATAACAACATATTAATAACACATATAAACACTTATAATTCTTAACTATACTTGATGATATTAAAGTTGTATAACATACCTCTTCCAATCTTGAGAAAACAAAGCAATGAAACTTGATTCACATTCTCTCAAAATTGCTCGATTCCTCTAGTAACTACTCGTTTCTTACTATTTCTTACTCTTTGAATATTTATAAAATTTTTAGTGCTTCTAAAATCTGATTCTAAGGCCCTCTATTTATAGGCATAAGAGCTCTTCATTGTTGATAAAACTCCTCACCAAATTTGCTTAGAAATTAATATAAAAACTTAACTTGAATTCATATAAAAATATAATTTTGATGGCTCATAAATACTCTCTAAAATAGGACAAATATGCTGATTAATGATGATAATAATGCTCCCATAGCTGATATAAAAATTAGCCCCATTTTTATTTAAAAACA